TTTTAAACTCCACGCAACGCGTGGACAATTCCTAGTTACTAAGATTAATGGCTAAAAAACCAATATGAAGTAGTATCATGTGGGTTATTATGATTAAAACAAAGATGATTTGCCAGAATGGTTTCTGAGATCATTCTGGGAAATGAATTCTATATTCAGCATATTCACCGAAATAAACAAGGGAATTCAACATGTAGTTTTAGCGCACAAGATCCATAGAAACAGCATATTCCCATAATGGTAAAACAAAGATAAGCTAATTAATGGACTTTCATCAAATATCAAAAGCCCAATAGCAAAGCAACATCGTTTTCGTTAATAGCCAAAGCCTCACTGAACCAGCAAATCTAAACCTCTAATGTATATCGCCTTAATCAATGGTGGATTAAATCGCCAGTTCAGCGATCCGTGTGAAAAAAATACTTTTTCTTTAACTTTTTATTTTATTTTTGATAATCTGTGGGAGTTTAGGATATTTGATCCACAACTTCTCCTGGTGTCCAGGTCAGCCATTGATAATACCACATTTAAGACTTAAATCACTATTCTCAAGTAGAATTGAACTAATGATAACGAACATGAGTTTTTACTCTCAAAATCACTAGAACACCATCGTATGATAATTAATTTTGCCACCATAAACTATCACGTGGCAACTTTCCATTCGTCGCCACTATGAAAATAGTCAGACTAGTGGATAGGAGGCACATCTTATTTTGTCGTGTGTTTTGAATAATTGAATAAGTGTGTGATGTCTAATAGCAGAAAAATAACCCCCAACATCACTTCTGCATGTATTATTGATCTCACTAGCAAAACAAAAAGACACACGAATTGGAACGGTACCAATATACAGTAATATATGTATGCTATATTAATATCGCTGAGTTCTAATTTTATTTCTATTGATATCAGAAAATTGAAAATTGGCTCTAGCCACGACCACGAGTAAAACGATTGCATCTAAACAAAAAAGAGACTAATCATCGATATTTTACGGAGAGTGAAATTATAAAATGAAGTTTTAAAGATATAACTATCTATGAATTGTTTTTCCCTTTTCTTTTCACAAAC